AAGAAGACACTGAGCACCAATTCTGGTCCAGTCAGGGTTCATACCTTGTTAACCTGGGAAAATACTTAGCGTAGAACTGTTAGTGTGATGCACAACAATTATAATAATGATGATATGCAATTCATTGTCTAGTTTCACCTAAAATCAAGTCTCCCTGAGGTACATATCGAACTTCTCCATCTTTCTGCATTACCCACCAGGTATACCCAGGTCCTTGAGCTAAAGCAATCCCACAAATGGGTTTACCCTTACCCGAGGCAGGAATAACCCAAACTGTTTTCCCAGGCAAATTCTTAATGTGCACCACAGGGACTTTGTCCCCTTCCACAGTACGTAAAAGTTTTGATTGGGCAGGGCCAGCTCAATTGACAGATCCTCTGGTATTAACCAACCAGGTGGCTTTTGTTAAGTGTGTATCCCAGTGTTTAAAAGTTCCACCACCCAGAGAAGTGTGGTTTTCAGCAGCCCATTGCATCATTTGATTTTCCCTGGAGGCTGGTGCATGATAGGGATTGTGGCACACCCACTCAATGCCATGTTCCTTGGCCCAATTTTCTATGAGATTGTTTCAGAAATGAGTCCCATTGTCTGACTCAATTCTGTCTGGAGTGCCATTTCACGACAAAACTTGCTTTTCAGGACCCAGAATAGTGTTCTGGATCTAGAGGGGCTTTAGAGAAATGGCATGCACAGCCTGTGTCTGATATGGAGAAGAACTGGTGTGTGCTTTCTGAGAACAAAGACATACAGAGTCTGTATCTGTAAAGAGACTAAGGATTTTAACTCCTGCTGCACCCTAAAATTTATGTCCTCAAGCTTCTTTTGGTTGCTCTGTACCCTGGAGGATGCCCAAATTCCATCAGATTATGGGCTGTTCCAACAAATTCCTCCATCTGCCTGTATTTCAGCCACTGGCTAGGGGAGGCTTCACAAATGTCTTTGTCTGCAGCTCGGTACCTCTCACCTACCAGGACTTTATGATTTGCCCTTACTTTGCTTCTTCCACTGGCCTCTGAGGGCACCAGTCTACTGGACATTCTCAAAATTTGCTTGTTGGACTGGATTTCACACTAGACTTGGGGAGGAAAAGGATTTCCTCTTATTTGTGTGGAGTAACCGAGTAGCTAGTGTTTGGGATTCTGGAAGGACAAGTTTAATCCCCCCAGTCTGAGATGCTGGAAATGGGGATGTGAACATGAGTCTCCCACACATCAGCAAGTAGGCAAGTTGCAAGACAGTAAATCAACAAGACCAGCAGAGAAGAAATACTGCATAATCTTTTAGGTTTGTTTGACAGAAGACTGTCCCAGTTCAGTATTTTACTATTATTTCCTTCTTCTACATTCAACAGGGTATCAGGATCAAGAACAAACGTGTTCATGAGGTTTAAAACCACAATGAAGGAAGGTCTTCTGATGTGGAGGGGAGACAGTCCTATGCGACCTAACAGTGATTTCATTTCTCTAGGCCTTCAAGAAGGAGCATTAATATTCAGGTAAACTGTCACTCCCTTATTTGTGTTGCACGTAGTACACTCAGGGCTTGAAGGAATTGCCACAATGCTACGATTGTAATTGTTTATTATTAACCATGTTTGCAACCTTTCCCTGCTCTCTCCCATTAGGCCAAAGGTCTGTAGGTCAGTGACCTTCATGACCTCCTGTTTTGGGAAGGAACTGCCATGGAGAAGCCCCCTCCTTCCTCCCATGGGATTGTGGTGGTGGTACTCATTCTGACCTGGGCAGGAGGGAGTTTTTCCTGTTCCTCCATGAGCCTGACTTTGCAAAATAAGTGCATCACTGCTGGGCTTCCAAAGGACTCCACCAGTCCCTCCAAAATCTGAGCCATAAGAGTAGCTCTTGGTGCTGAGAGCAGGTGAATGGGGCATCTGAGCAATCTGTCAGGCAGACAGACTTTGCAAGGGAGGCAATAACTTTTTTTTTTAATTGTAGCTACAATTTGGGCAGCGGCATTGCTTCCATCATGGTGAATGGCTCTTTCAGTGACGGTCGGTGGCACAGAGTCAAGGCTGTTCGGTAAGTGTCCGGGCTTCATCTGGGAGGCATTTTGGAGCTGCCCAGCGGGCCCCCCAGCCACTAAAGGTGGCTGGCTGGCTTGTCTGGATGCTGGTCAGGTGTGAATCACTGTGGCTCCATGCTCTCACATCGCTTAGGAGTTGAACTGTTAGCAGCTTGGCTGTTTCAGGATGATGTACACAAAGATTATTGTATTAGAGGTGACAGTGCCAACTCTGAAACTCAGAACAGCTCAAGGCAGGCTGCCAAAGTCATGCAGGGCTATTCTGGGTCTGCGACAGACATTCTCTTCAACCCACACCATTTGGGTCAACAGTATTTTTCTTTAATGTCTGCATTTTGAAATTCCCTAGTGAGCATTTTGCGGGCTGGCACAAGCACTGGAGCACGGACAGTGTATGCTTACTTTTTCTATTTGGAGGAGGTGCAGACATCTTGCAGTGTATATATAACTCATATTTATAGCTTATTACCTCATGGGAGGCAAGTGTGCCCAGCAGGGAAAGCATGTATCTCTCTCTTCATGGGATGCTGGTTCCCTGGAAATTGCAGGCTAACATTAGCACAACTTGTCACCAAATTCAGTGAGAACAGGAGCCCCTCAAATGGCTCTTCTGTCAATGCAGTTATTGACCATGTATAAAATGCAAGTGGCCTAAAAGCTCTAGTAGGAAACCAAACTGCTTATAAGTATGTTCTACCTTAGCTTGCTTATTTCTTCCCTTCTGTTGAAGCTTCCGCTGTTTACATTTTATATTACATCTAATTTTTAACAGTGCTCCAGAACCTGTCCATCCTCCCCTCCCCCTTAGCTGTGTGATTTATTTCTTTCCCAGTTTTTTTCTCCTCTGCAAATATGTCCCCCACACTTTGCAGGTCTCTGACATCTTAGTCCCTGGAAAAAACAAACAAACAAACAAACAAAAAACCACCCTGAAGGGTCTGGATTGCCATAGCACACTGCTGTCTGCGGGGCTCCCCAGTATTGGTCCCAAACCTTTGCTGTGAACCCTGCCGAGCACTGAGTTGCCCTACTCTCCCGGTGATGGGGGAGATGCTCCTGCTTCTCCTCCCGCTCGCTTGTAGGCTGGATGCATGAGAGTGTTTTGTTTTTCCTTTCAGAGATGGACAGTCTGGCAAAGTAACTGTGGATGATTATGGTGCCAGGACCGGTAAATCCCCTGGGAAGATGAGGCAGTTAAACGTCAATGGAGATCTCTACGTAGGTGAGTGCTCACTGTTCGCATTCACAACCCAGGTGCGTTTCTGTGTTTGCGAGGTTGGCTTCAAGGCAGGGCAGCCCAGCTCGGTCCGTCTCAAGGTGAAGGCTTCACATGGCAGCTTCTGGTCCTCCACATCCTGGTATTTGTGGGGAGGCCTCTCTGGGTGGGATGGGAGGGACCAGTATGAGAAGGGACCAGCAGCATGGTGTGCACTGTGGTACCTCCAGCAGGTACATAGAGAAACAGCGAGTGGCAGCTGCAAACCCTACAGCTTAGTGGGAATCTGAGCACAAGCTTATTCAGCTCTTACTGATGTGACAATTTCTGCAATAAATAACTAGCATCCTAGTTTATTATCTCAATGCTTATCCCCTCTGTACTTTCAAGTGCCTAAAAGCTGTATTTTAAAAACCATGGAGCAACCTGTAAATTAAAATTCACTTTTGAGGTACTCTAGGAAGGCTAATAGTGTTGCTGGGCAAGCAGGAGCAGACATTTGTGTTGGTGAAGAGTTTCTGATCGCTGCCTTTCCCTCAGGTGGCATGAAGGAAATAGCCCTGCACACGAACAGGCAGTACCTGCGGGGCCTGGTGGGTTGCATCTCCCACCTCACGCTTTCCACTGATTACCACATCTCGCTGGTGGAGGATGCCACCGATGGGAAGAACATCAATACGTGTGGGACCAAGTGACAAGAGAGGAATCCCGGTGCCGAGGACCCATCGTGTGCTTGCGTGTGTGGCTGAGTGCAAGCTGCCTGCCACAGCCCTCTACGGCCGACCTGCCTTCGCCATCTGGGAAGGTGACAGAGCCAAAGGGAAACCTGAAAAATAAAAGAACATTTTTCCCTCTTCCTTTCCTGACCAAACCAAACTGAGTATTTTGTGTAGGAACCGTGCCCTCTACCCATTAAGTGTTTAGTGAACTCTAAAGGTTGTGCATCAGTGCAAATTGCAATGTGTGATGTTACGAGTAGCTCGATGATTGTGTTGTGGTCCTTAGGTTATCTTCTGTAATGTCAGAGAAAGCAGTCTTGAAACACCTGCATTCATCCCACTCTGCAGTGGTACAATGACTGTGCTGTTCAACCAATCCACCATCAGGCACTGTATCTATGCATTCAAATGTATGTCCTGGAACAAGCAGTTCTCCTTACTGCTTTCTGATTTAGCTAAATGATGTTTCATCCTGTATGAATAACAGCTACCGTGACTGATTTCAAAATATTGTTGTATGTTGAGGAAGAAAGTTCTTGAAGTCTACTTTTTTATTACAAGCAACAAAACCAATGAACCAATTTTGTAGAAGTAATTTTATATTTGTATATTTTTTGTAGGAGCAGCAGATCTGCTTACATGGTATAACTTTTAACATTTAGGTGTACTATACAATTAGCTCTTTGCACACTTTCTTAAAAATAGCAAAGTGACCTGTGGTTTAAATTTGTTACACAGGAGACTTAATGTCTGTATTATACAGTTCTGTGGGGATACTTGTCAGTTTTAAACCTGACTCTTTTTGTTTTGTAAATTTTGACAGTTTAAAATTGTACATTATGAAGCTTTCCTGGCTTAAACAGATTAAAAGATTAGAAAAAAAAAAAAAGCAAGTGCTTGCTACTGTGGTATTATAAATCACTTTTTTTTTTTTTTTTTTCTGAAAAATGAGAAAAGGGATGTGCAAGAGACCTTGGTGGGCCACAGTCCTCTTAAAATAAAATGTTTTCTAGGCACTGGACCAACACTTATGCAACCTTGATTGCCAAACTGTAATTTAAGCAGGCGAACAGAGTGTTGTCGAGACACTAAGGAAATGGTCCAGAATTTCATAGTTCGGAGATTTTTCTTTCTTAACTCTTTGTTCAAAGCAGATCAGTGAGCCATCAGAGGGAGAGGGGAGAAGAGAGACCCACCCCACAGCTCACCCCATGCCAGCAGCGGGAGGAGCACAAACCTCCTCAGCAGCGCAGGCTCATACAAATGCCTATGAGTTAAAATGACCTAATGGGGCAAAAGCAATGGAGATCGGGATGTTTCTGCTGCGCTTTTACTGTGCCCACGGTGCTCCCGGCTCCCTGGGAGCTAAAACATGTTCCCGAGGCTTGTCCCACCTGCAGCTGACTGTGAGCAGCTGCAGGCTCGAGTGGGAAAAATAATAGCTGGTACGAGATAATAGAACATGCAAAATAACTGCCATGGAAACTCCCAGCCCCTCCTCTGCATGCTGAAAGGGATACCCTGATCACTTAGGTGAAAGACCTTGCTCTCCTTGTCAACGTGGTAAAAAATAAATACTGAGACTTGTTAGAAATAGAAAGGAACAGAAAAATATGTGGTGGTGCCAGCATGTAATGTGCACCTGTGTTCTGCCCCACTGTTCAAATCACACTTTAGAAAACCTGTCTGTAGCAGACATGGGCCGCTTGCAGAGAAGCAGGAGACATACACGGCTCTTCTTCCAGGAGAAGGGCAGTCTTGTCTGGCTTACAGAGCCCCATGGGCAGAGAAACCTGTGCAGGGCTGGGAATAAGCAGGATAAATTATGCGATCAAGATGTGTCTTTAAAATGAAAGTAAATGGAATTTGATGCCATGAGGTGTAACAGGGAAATGTGCAGATTTTGAAAAAGGGTAAAAACTAAAACCTCTGGAGGCTGAAGGTCTTGCTGGCTGCTCACTGCTGCAGCCCTGCCATGGGCTACATCTCAGCTGCTGCTGCTAGAGATGAAAGTCAGGTTCTATGTGCTTGGGGGCGTTTCCCAAATGGTAGTGTCCTGTCCTGACCTGGCACAGGGTATGGAGATCTGACCTGCTGTACCTCGAGTCTTGGCATCCTGCGGTGTCATCAGAGATGGGGGACAATGCTGATCCAGAAACTGCATCAGCCTGTGCTCTGTCACATGTGCATCGCCTTTCCCATCCTTTCATTTCTGTCGCAAGGTTTGGAGAACGGCTCCAAGACAAACATCTGGCTGGAGAGGTCTGTTTTTTAAGAAAATTTACTGCAGAATAACAGGCATTTTGGTACAAAGAGATACTTTTCCAGAACAAAAGCTGCTCTTTGAAATGCAAGGTGGGGGGTGGGGGTGGAGGCGGGGAGCGGGTAGGAAATGCCTCCGTTGTTGTTGTGGAAAAGGAAGAGCAACAAACGGCAGCTCCCCAAATGCCTGTTTCCAACTGTGCGTATCACCGCGCGGGAATTCGGAGCTGGCAGCATCGCTTCACCACGGCACAGAGGAGCATGAGCGGCACAGCTGCATGGTCCTGGCCAGGCAGGGAGGAATAGCAAAGATGCCACAGGGTTTGAATCTTCTAAATAAAAAAAAAAAATAAAAATGAAAAAAAGTCTTTCTGCATCCTTTTAAAGACAGTCTGAGAAACTTCTGAAGAGGGAAGCATCCTACATCCACGTCTCCACACATCTCCCTGGTGAAGCATGGGGCTGGGTGAGAGGCAGGGGTTTCCACTCGAGGGGCTGAGCAGGCTATAGGTGCCAGAATCTCAGGAACATCTGAGCAGATGTGGAGGCTCGGCCACCCCTGCCCCCTCCCCCCGATACTGGGCCTGAAAGGGGAAAGGCGGACAGTGCGTGGCAGACTGCTTAGTCATTTTCCCAGGAACTGGCCTGGATGTCGGTCTCACTGCCTCCAAGGCTGTTTATTAATCACATTATTTGTTGCTCGGGCCATATCAGATGCTTGGCATGACCGTGGCCTGGCTGCAGGATGAGCTCTTGCCTGTGGACAGAGCCGTGTCCTTTTTGCTGCAGGTGCCTGTGCAAACCAGCAATGAAGCCAGCAGACCCAGGTGCTTGTGCCCCTCTTTGCAATTTAATCCCCTTTCTAAAACTGCAGTTCTTAGCTTTCTTCCTAATTTTCCACATTAATCCCAAAAGATTTTGGAATTAAAATTTTCCACATTAATCCCCGCCACTTTCTGAGGCTAAACACTCCCCTTGGATGGGCCAAGTTGGGCTTTGTGCTGGGCAGTGGCTGTTGGGCAGAGCTGCTCCCTGCCTGCCCTGAGCACCGTGTGTCTCTTTGCTCTCCAACACTCTTCCATCTCCCTGGAGACCAGCCACTTGGGAATCAGCAGTTAAGTTTACTCAGATCATCCTAAAGCAAAATAAGGGGGAAAAAAAAAAAGCAAAGAAGAAAAAACAATGCAAAAAAAAAAAAAAAAAGGCAAGCAAAAAGAGACCTCAGGGGGAACTAAAGCCAGATGATACTTAATGGTCGCTATGGTAGGCAAATTCTTGCTGCCCTGGTGTGTCCTGGGTGGTCAAAGGTCAGGGGCCAGGAGCTCTTTTCCATCCTAGTCCTCCTAGCCTGGCCCTGGGGAGCAAAGAAGCAAGGAAGAAAAGAGGAGGAGGGAGCTGCCAGGGTTGGGAAGCTGTCATTCCCTGCCAATGCATCAGCCTGCCACAGGTGCCTGTTCAAAGTTATTATTTTGTCAGCCAGGCTTTGCTTTTGAGAACACATTTTCATTCTATAGATAAAGCAAAATAAACCACGGGGCAAATGCATCGTTCCAGCTCTGCATGTGCAGCTCCCTCCATGGTGGCATCATCCGTCAAGGGGCAAATCTCCCTACTTTAAAGGACTGGATAAAATGCATCTGTGTTTTACGCAGGGAGAGCAGCAGCCACACCCCCTCAGCCAGCTGCATCTTTTAATCAGCATTTTATTTCTTGGGGGAGCAGGGGGGTGTGTGTGCGCACAGTGGGGTTTTTCCCTTCTCCAAAGCAACACCTTGCTCTGATGTCTGAGTTGGGGCACATCCTGCTCCAGTGAGTGCATCCCTCCCTCCCATTCCATTTTTCTATGGATTTGCGTCACCATGAGCATCCCTGGTCCCCTCATCACGCTCTGACAGGTCCCTTGCCCCTGTACTCAGGCATCTCCCACATGAGGAACTGCCTGGCGCTGGCACCTGCGGTGGCTGCAGCTCTGCAAGGTCCTGGCTTTCTGTCCCCAGGGACACGACCCGACTGTCTGTGAGTGCTCTCTTCCCAAGCCCCTGCGACAGAGACTGCCTGGCAGCGCTGTGACCGACTGCCCTTATTTCTCTCAAATATCCGTTCACTGTCAGAGCATTTTTCTTTGTTTATTGTGCACAGGACAAAGACGACGTTGTTCCTCTCACCCTGCTGTTTCTTTTTCCTCTTCTTCCCTCAGTCTTCCTTTCTAGGAAAACAACAGTGCTGGTTCCTTCAACACCCATCCCCGCAGGTTGTTTTCCAGCATTGTACATTAACGTGATGTATAGAAACAGTATGGAAAAAAAAGGGGCTGCTAAGCATGGACACCTCATGTTAAGGCTCACAAACTTTCCAACCTTTTTTGTTTGTTTGTTTTGCTTTGTTTTCCAGGCCATTAAATAGTTCCTAGTGGCAATAGTGGCAGTGTACATAAGCACTTTTGTTGGTGGAATTTTCCTCAACTTTCCTGTCTTCTGGAGGCACTGGAATGGCAATATTTAATAATTTTTTTACAAATTCTCTTGTTTCAATTTTTTTTCCTTGTCGAACCTTTAATGTTGGTGTCAGCAAAGCAGAATTCAAAAATGAAATCACCAATTTTTCACCATATTTAGGCCGTTTTAATTTGAACTTCTGATTGTTTTTACCAAAATATAGGGGTTCAGGTTTGATTTTTTTTAAGCACTAATAAATACTTCATACACAGGGACTCT